GATGCCATTCCTGCTTCCAAACCTGTCTTAAACTGGGAGCTCCACCAAACACTCTTCCCCATGGGTAACCATTATGGTATTTGATACCCTAGTGGCACAAGGTTCAGCATCACAGCAACCCCAGGTTACCTCAGTACCACATTGATAGAAGAGTGCTGTCCCACTTAGAAGAATGTTCCTCCAAATATAATAAAAACTGACTTTTAAATACAAAGGCCCTCCTGAGGTCTTGTTAACTCTAAACAAGAGGCTTAAATAAAAACAACCCAAAAAACCAATATAGTATGTTTTTGTTGTTATATGCCATTGAGTCACCTGCGATGTGTAGTGACCCTATGTACAGCATTTCTGAACCCTTACCTATCCTGAGCCAGCCTCACTAATTCTGACACACCAATTCCTATTGCCCCAGATACTGTATCAATTCATCTCATTCAGGGTCTTCCTCTCCTACACTGTCACTCCACCTTTCTAAGCATGATGTCCTTCTCCAAGGACCAGTCTCTCTTGGTGACATGCCCAAAGTATGTGAGACGGAGCTTCAAAATCCTAGCCTCCCAGGAGAGATTTGATTTCACCCTCTCCAGGACAAACTGATTTGGTTTTTTGGCAGTCCATGTTATAGCCAGCATTCTTCTCCAGCTCCACAACTTGAAGGCATCTTTTCTTCTGTCATCCTTAGTCATTGTCCAGCTCTCTGAAGCATAAAAGTAGTTGAGAAGACCATGGCCTGGGTCAGGTGCTCCTTTGTCTCTAGGCTGACATCGTTCCTTCTCAGCACTCTGGAGAGATCTCTGACATCAGATTTTCCCAATGCATTTAGTCTTTTGATTTCCTGACTGCTGGCATTGAGAGTGTTGATTGTGGAGCTGAGCAAGCCATACTTTGAGCTAAGATCCATTTGATGTGAGCAGTGATATCCCTCATTCTGCATCCTCTTCAGAATCCAGCGTGAACTTCCAGCAGTTCTGTCAATGTACTACACCAACTGTTTTTTAACTATCCTCAGCAACATTTCAAGTGTATATTATTAATGGCATTGTTCAATTATTTTCACATTCTGCTGAATCATCTTTCTTGGTAATGGGCACAAATGTGGATCTCTTAGAATCAATTAGGTAGCTATCTTTTCAATGTTTTAAACCTAGATGAGTAAGCACCTACAACATTTGTCGACATGATTCAGTTGCTGCTCCTCCCAGAGCCCTCTTTTCCACCAGTATCATCAGTGCAGTTTATACTTTCTCCTTCAGTATCATTGGTTGTTCTTCTTCATCGTGTGCTACTTCCAAGAGTGACTATAATAGAATGAGTATGATAGAATAGCAGCAAAACATGGAATTCTATCATCTGAAAAATTAAATACTTGGAAAGAAGCTGGAGTTTCTGTGGTGGGGGACTTAGATGCTAGAAGGACTATCAGCCCGATATCCACAATCTCTACATCTGTATTTTTCACAGAAGATGCTTTTGTTGACATGTACCATACACAAAGAAATGTACATGAGTCACAAATGATTAGCTCTATGGGCAGTCACAAACTGACCACATCATGTAGACAGTACCCCATCTCAAGATATCCTTTAACCCTTATGTCTTCCAGATGCTAGTCCCACAGGGAAACTGTTTTCTTTACTTATAACACCACAGACTAATTTTGTGTGTTTTAGAGTTTATGTAAATGCATTGTTTTAGTATGAAATATTTTATGTCTGGCTTCTTTCACTCAACATTTATTAAGATTTATCTATATTTTGTGTAGTTGAATTCTCAGTCACTTCCTGTTTGATGTAATTTGTTCATGCATGTTTGGTATCAAAACTCAAACTCACTATTGTCAAGTCTGTTCTGACTCATATGGTCATGCTCCATTGGATTTCCTGTAAATCATAATGGAAGGAGATTGCCCTTTTTTCTCTCTTGGAACAGCTGGTGGATTTGAACTGCTGGGGACACAGCCTTTTGGTTAGCAGCACGTCATTCTGTGGACTGTGCCACTAGAGCTTTCTCTGTAGCTCCATTTATTCATCTGTTGTACTGTTGATGGGCATTTGAGTAACTTCAGATGTCAGGCTGCTGTGAATACGCTGCTGTGGATGTTCTGCAACATTTGGTGAGCATATGGTCACATTTCTTACGAGTATATGCATAGGAGTGGAAGAGCTGGGTCACAGCTTATGCATACAACAGATACTGTCTTAACATGTCCTAAATTGATATTCCTACTAACTATGCATGAGAGTTCTGATTTTCCTTGTCTCTGCAAGCCTTTTGTACTGTGTTTATTTTTCATATTAATCATTCTGATAAGTGAGTATCATTTTGTAGTTTTGATATATAATTTCCTGATGGTAGGGGGGCAAGTGGAATAGTCCATAGGGTGTTCTGCTAACCCAGAAAGGCTGCACCTCTGTGAAGTGTCTATCTTCCAGCAGCTTTGTGGGAAAAGAATGGGCAGTCTCCTGCTGTGTGATTTATATCCTCTAAAAGCCACAGAGGGTCAGCATCAGGTCAAAAGCAATGAGAGTGAGTCCCTGAGAGCAAATGAAGTTAAACACCTTTTATATGTGATTTAGCCCTTTGAAACTCTCTTTTATGAAATACATATTCAAGGGGTTTTGCCCACTCTCTATTGGGGTCCCCCATCTTTCTCCATAGTGATTTCTATTAATTACTTTTACATTCTGCGTATGAGATCTTTGTCCAGTAGGTATAGTGTATGTATCTCCTCCTCCTCCTTTTTATTCTAATATCTTCTGCTGAAGCTATTCTTCTAACTTGATCATAACCAACTTTTTTTACTTTACTCCTCTATGTTTAGTATATTTTGGTTCTGTTTAGAAACCTTGCCTATACCAAAATCATGAAGATAACCTTCTAGGCTTTTAAAATCATTCGGCCTGTGAGCCCCATGGATTGATTTCTGGTGCACGGTGCGAGGTACGCACTGTGCATGTTTTCGCTCCCATGGGGGCATCCATTTGTCCCACAATCATTGATATAATTTTTTATCAGTCCTCACAGTGAGTACAGGGTCTTAGGACTATGCCTACATTTTCAGACGAGGAACCCAAGACTCAGAGAGCACAATATTTTGTTTGTGGTCACGGAGCTGGTAAATGGCAGAACCAGGATTTGTATTTAGATTTATTTGATTCCAGAGCCAAGGCTTTTTCCTCATACCAGAGTGATTATTTCTCCACCTATTAAAGAAATTACATGAAACATCGTCACCTTCTCAGATGCTTCCTTAAATGAATTATAAGTAATAATTATATAAAAGAAATCATGTATGTATAATTTTGTATGATTATGTGAAACATCATCACAGAGACTCTCCTAGATCCTCTGACCTGGAAGGGCTGTGGGCTTATTTCAGGCACCTTGACCCAGGAGAATGTGGGAATACACACATAGTGGGGCACAGGGTGTGACATAAAGGGAAGGACTCCGTGTGGCAGGGACTTTCCTTTGTAAGTAGAAGGGTTCGGTCACTGGGCATCATTCTTATTCAGCAGCTTTACTCCTCATTTCAGGCACCGAGGTTGCTGTGTAGCCATCTCCAGGCACCAGTGCCTCACAAATTTATACTGCCGTTCAACTTTTTTGGTTAGCCAGTGAGTGCCGAGGCTTGAACCTGTGCCTGCACTCACCACAGTATCAAGGGACAGAGGCCAAGAACTTGAATCATTTTGGTGCCTTTAGTGAGGCACCCTGGGAATAGCTCATTAGCTTGAGCGCAGCAGAAAAGAGAGGGGGAGTAGCAGGGGCTTTTTTGGGGTAGCCCAGGGATTTACTGGGGTAACCTGGTGAAAAGCTTGTGCTTTCCCAGCAGCCCGGGCCCTCAGCTCCACATCAGGGTACCCAAGGCAGAACTGAGTAACGAGGAGGGGTCATCAGGCTTGGAGCTGTGGAGGCCTGAGCGGGATGGATTTCACATACAAGAGGGCTACTGAGGTGGGTGGGGAGCTGTCCCAGGGCCAAAGCAAGCTCTTTTCCCAGATCGGATGAGTTTGGGACAATAGTAGGCTGTGCACCAAGAGGCAGGGTCCTGGCGTCCAGCCTAGCCTGGGCTCCTGCCTCTCACTGAGTTCTTGCTCAGTGCCAAGCCCTTGGCTGTTTTGTTAGTTTAACGTTTTGTAATTACATACAAAACTCAAAACCAAACTCACTGCCATCAGGCTGATTCTGACTCCTAGTGACCTGATGTTAGGTGCTTTCGAGTTGCCCAGGATTCATAACACCCCTATGAACAGCTATCCTGAGCCATCCTTGCCATCTCTGATACACTTGAGCCCCTTGCTGCAGCATCACTCCTGACCCCAGTTTCCAGGTGTAGACATTTTAAACATTTCTGGTTTTATTCTTCCTGTCACCCCTACTACCATGAGTACTCAGATACCGTTCTGTGTACCCGCTCAGGCTAGCACCTGTGCAGGGAGAAACAAAAGGTGAGAAGTCCTGATTTTTGGTGGTTGTATTGTTCCTTTGGGCAGCTTATCCCAAATTCCTATATATTTATCTTCAGTGACACAACATGGAGCATCCATATGCAATTAGCTATTCCTCTGTGGTATTTGTAGCTGTTACTTTGTGGTATGTAGCACTATATTCTCAGTTCCTGGATTGTCATTGTATGTGTTTGTATCTGTCTTCCCATCTAACCTGTATCTTCGGGCACTCCCCATGCTTTCCTCATGCTTGCACAACAGGGCACAAAGAGCTGAAGTAGTGATATAATGAATAAATAAATGTGTGTTTTGGACCTCTCCTGCCTTCCCACCCAGGGGCCAGTTACACCCAAGGCCAAGCTCATAACACCCCTGGTGGCCCCCGAACTAACTAGAGCAGCCTCCCTGGGACCAGGCAGGCCCACTTTCTAAACACTTATCTGCTAACCTGCAGTTGGAGTGGAAAGCCGCCCCTAGACAGAGGGTCCAGCAAAGCTCCTCTCCTTCACTGAGGATGGTGGGGTGAGGACTGTCTTTGTGACCTTCTAGGAGGTGTTTCGGCAGCATCGAGGGCTGCAGCTTCTGGCCCTGGTGGAGGAGGTGCTGCCCCGGCATGGCAGCAGCAGCCATGGGGATTGGCACATCTCCCTGAGCAAGCCCAGCGAGAAGGAGCAGCACTTGCTAATGACCCTGGTGGGCGAGCAAGGTGAGCACAGGCAGGCAGGTGGGAGGGGGGCGATGTTCTCTAGAGAGAGGAGCCACAAAAGGTCCATGAGGCAGGCTGTTCTCGAGGCCATATGAAGTCTCAGGAGACAGGATGGGCTTTTGAACTCAGAACTTTAAGCAGGATGGGTTTTCCTTGGTGGAGCTTCTACTTGCGAGTTTTGGAGAAGTAGTGGAGGGTGGGAATTAGTTATTGGAGACAGGAGTCAGGTATGGTTTCAGCACAGACATGAAATGAAATTGGCTTTGCACACTGTTTAATGGAGTAGGACGGTAGGGAAGGGGGTATCTGAAATGCTGTAGTGTGAGAGACAGCCTAGAATTATGTTTATGTTACGTATCCACTAGATATTTAATAGATGAGGTCAATAGAAAGCAAATGTAGGAGAGAGGAGCCCTGGTGGCTTAAAACGTAATGCAGTGGGCTGCTAACTAGAAGATCAGCAGTTTGACTCCAATGGCTTTTTGTTGAATACAGGAAGTCTCCTCCAATAAAGATTTCCGGCCTCAGAAACCTGATGGAGGGTCTCCATGAGTCAGAGATGCCAGGAAGGTTTGGTTGTTCTTTTTAAGTAGGAAAGAAAAATCCACGTAGAGTAAGAACCTGTGTGTACTTAGCAGCCAAACAAAGAGGCTGTAAGAACTTGGGTCAGGAGCTGTCAGGAGAGCTAGGACTCTTGCAAGCTGAGCTCCGTGGCCAAGGTGAGATTGATAACTGTGTCTCTTCCCCTCCCTCTCGCCCAGGAGTGGTGCCCACTCAAGATGTCCTTTCCATGCTGGGTGACATCCGCAGGAGCCTGGTGGAGGTAAGAGCACACAGAATTTGCATCTGTGCTGCAGGACTCTGTTACCTGCTGCTGTTCTCCCTACACATTCCACTCCAGGAGCAGGGCTGGCCTTTCTCAAGGTGGTTCAAAGGAACAGAAGACTGGCAGGCTTCTCGTTTAAGACCATCCTAAGTCAGGTCTTGTGGAAAGACAGTCAAATGAACACTTGATGTAGACACCAGGTGCAGAGAAGGATGGGGAAGGGCTGGGCGGTAGTGAGAGGGTGCAAAGAGGTGGTTTCTGAGGGAAGTTTTGGTGGTTAGACAGTCTTGTGGACAATGAGAGAAACACCAGTGTCTGGCCAAAGGAATTGTGTGGCAGCCTGCAAGGAGAGAACAGCAGGAACTGCAAGTGACGTGGAGTCAGGAATAGTGAGAGTAAACTGTCCAGTGACCATCCTCCAGTCAGTCCTCATGCTCACAGATCCAGGTACAGGGGCCAAGAATCAGCTCTGCCATCTTGAGAGGCACCTCTGTACCCCTAGTGCTCTTTTGGCTCCCTGGAGGCTCCCAGAGAAGCTAGACCGAGCAGCTAGCTTGGGCAGCCAGGCCAGAACAGTCCCTGGCCTGTGGGGAGGGGCCACATCTTCCTCAATCCTTCTGCCATATTCCTTGAAGGGGAGGGCCAGTGGAGTTGAGAGGACAGCCACCATTGTCCAAAACTACTTTCACTACTTGTGAAAGCTAGCGACAGTGACCTCATTCTTAAGGGCTCTGCAGTGTTTGCCATCAAAGATGAGCTGTATGTAATTTGAGAAATTTGTCAGTATATTAGTACTGTGTGCCAGGGCCTCACCAGTTGAGAGTCCTTGTCACTGTTCCGTGGGGCTCTGAGGATTAAATAAGACTTCCGTTGAATACTGTTACTAGCCACATTTAAGACTGAGAACTGAAAAACCGAGAGGCTTGGTGACTGACCAGAGAGTACATAGTTGGTAAGTGGTAGTGCTGATCTGTGAATCCAGACTGGTCCATACTGCAGTACTAATAGGATGGTCATGGGAGGGTATTCCCAGTTCTGAAATCCTGGGCTTACTAACACCAGTGAGGCTGAGGAAATTTAAGTTTGCTTCATCTTTGCATTATTAACCCTCTAATCCCTTCTTTCCTACCCTTGGGTATGTTGTTAAGTGCCGTCGAGTCACTTGCGACTCATAACGACCCCATGTACAACAGCCCTAAACTCTGCTCTGTCCTGTGCCAAGCGTCTCTGACACTCCCATCCCGATTATCCCAGTCACTGAATCAATCCACCTCATAGAGGGCCTTATAGTCAGGCCTTACTGGACACATTTGAGGGGAAGGCGCTTGATTCACACCAAGTAGAGCAAACAGGATGCTGGATTCCTGAAAGTGTATTAGTGAATGAATTTGACAAGAAAAGCTGATTATTTTAAAATTTAAAATAAAGTGCTAAGAATCTGCAGGATGGTTTATAGGGACTGAGGAAAGCGAAATAGCTGAATGCTGAGTGAGTCTCTTCCTCGGGAGCTAGGCACCTCTGCTAACCTGATGAGACACCTCACCTCCCTTGACCAATAATCCAGCTTTTGGGAGAGGATCCTTCACTCCTGGGAGGGACAGAGCAATCATTTATCAGTCCAAACAAGACTAAGTGTGGAAGGATCCTGGGGGTGCTAGAAGCTGGACTGGCCCATGGTACTGGCCTACCCCTTGGGATTTAAAGCAGATTGGTTTTTAGCTGCCCCTTAGGCATAAGCTGTTGCGGGGTCCTGACTCAGTAGTTGACTGGGTGGAGGCTGGCAGCCCAGAACTGTCCTTTTGTTAATTTAAATCAACGGTAGGTTGGGAAGTAGGACCTCTTGGCCCTGTCTAGTGACCAACCTAAGCACCACAGGTTCTTGCATCAATGCAGACAGAAACCATGTTGGGGGCATGAGAGTGGAAAGGCTTGAAGCCCGCCTCTGGTTACCAGGATGGAATGGGGTAGAAAGAATAGCACCCCTGCTGAACATGACCTTCAGCCACTATGGGCCTTCTCCTTTGCAAAGCTTGTCCCAGCCATAAAACCCCTGTGGGGAATCCATGCACCCCAGGACCTCAGCTGAGGAGCCTGGCCCCTCCTGCCTCCTCAGATCGGCATCCAGAACTATTCCACCACGAGCAGTTGCCAGGCGAGGCCCAGCCAGGTACGCAGTGACTATGGGACGCTCTTTGTGGTATTGGTGGTCATTGGTGCCATCTGTGTCATCATCATCGTGCTCGGCCTGCTCTACAACTGCTGGCAGCGGCGACTGCCCAAGCTCAAGCATGTGGTGAGTGTGGGCTGGTGGGTGGCAAGGCCTGGGTGGGTAGGGGGGTGCAGGCAACTCTTCCCACCCGTTTCCTCACATCCAATACAGTGTGGCCACAGCACTGTGATGAGGACTCAGCAGGATTCTACAGATGAAACATTTGTCCAGAGCCAGGCATCTGAGCTGCCCCTCCCTGTAGGGTGGGCACAAGCTGGGTGGTAGTCCCCACAGGGACCCCAGGCGGGCAGCAGCTCCTCCTAGCAAGGTGGACCCAAGGGCCATTTTAACATCTATGGCCATTCATGCATGGTTCAGACACTGCCTAGAGGCTTCTGGGGAGGAGGCATCAGACTCTGCCATGACAGCTGGCTCCTGCCGCCTTTGGTGCAATTGATAGGATTTTAAATCCCTAGCTTTTCCTCTGTGGAGTTCTCTTAGCGGGTAAGGAACTGCTGCCAACCCAAAGGCAGATTTGAAAACACCAGCTGCTATGAGGGAGAAGGAAGGGCGATCTCTTCCCATGAGATTTACAGCCTCGGAAAACCATCTGGAGGGTCAGCTCCGTGGCAGTGAGACTGAGTGAAATGAACTTTAGAAAATGGGGCCATTGGGGGTGGGGTGGGGAAGCGGACACCAGATGTCAGGAAGGCAAAGAATTGTTAGCTGTGGGGACAAAAGGAGGGAACTGCCTTATGCTGCAGGTCCCCTGGCTCACTCTAGCGTTTTACCCACTAGGATGGGGGGGATGAAAGGCCTCGTTCAGTGTTAGGAGGTGTGGGGTGCAGAGCCTGTGGGTGACTGGCCTGGCCGCCCCGGGCCCCTCTCCCACCGCACCCACAGTCCCACGGAGAGGAGCTGCGCTTCGTGGAGAACGGCTGCCACGACAACCCCACGCTGGACGTGGCCAGCGACAGCCAGTCAGAGATGCAGGAGAAGCAACCCAGCTTGAACGGCGGTGGGACCATTAACGGCCCCGGAGGCTGGAGCACGCTCATGGGAAGCAAGCGAGACCCCGAGGACTCCGACGTGTTCGAGGAAGACACGCACCTGTGAGGCCCCCCCAGGGGTGCCCAGCGCCCTAGGGCCCCGGCCTTGCACACCCGCAGCCGGCCGCGGGTGCTGGAGACAGAAAGGCAGGTCCGCAGAGACCCCGCGCCTCCCTGCCCTCGGAGCTCTCCTGGCCGCCCACCCCGCAGCCGGCCCTCGATGCGGGGCTTCTCGCCGCTTCCTGCCAACTTCACAAAACCGCCTTCGCACAGCCCCTTCCCCACGCCCACCCCGAGAGTATCGGCCCCGGACCCCGATCACGGCCCGGTGGGCACAGCCCGCCCCGGGACAGGACCCTGCCTCAGGGCCCCACGGAACCCGGCCTCACTGGCCACTGCCCCGCGAGCCCCCTGCCTGTGAGTGCGGGGCGCAGGTGGCAGGCTCCCCCCCCGAGCGAGCACCGGGACTCCCATTAAACCGTCAGGGAGATGGCGCCCAGCCCGCCCGCCTGCCCGCCTCGTTCTTTCGGCCCGGGTCGAGGTGGTGGGGTGGGGGGACCCCGTGGAGGGCGGGGGTGCGTCCGTGCGAAGGGCCGGGATATGGTGGCCCTCAGCCGAGGCCCGGGCCGTGGGGCTCGGCGCCCGCCGTCCACATGCTCTGCGTCCGGGGCGCAGGCAGCGGGTCCTCCGGGCGCCAGGCGCCGCTGCGGAGCGCGAGCGGGCGGCCGGGGCGGGGCCGCGAGTGTTTACATCCGCCGGGACTCGCTGTCGCTGCCCGAGGTCGTCCGGCCTCAGGTCCGAGCTTCGCGTCATGGATACCAGCGACCTGTTCGCCAGCTGCAGGAAGGGAGATGTGGGCCGAGTGCGGTGAGGGGTTCACAGGCCGGGGTCTGGGGGGCATTGAGCAGGCGAGGGTCCTCCAGACAGGGAGGAGACCACCTCCCCCAGCCGCAGGAGGAGCCCGGACACTGCAGCCGCCTTGGAGCAGGCGGAGGCGGTGGTCCTTGGAGGGCTTCCGGGAGGAGGAGACTGCTTCGTGGAGCAGGCCAGGAGCTGATGTAAAGAAGAGGGACTGCGCCTCTCCGCCAGCGGGGTCGGGATGCTCGGCCCAGAGGCCAACCTGGGGCTCTAATCCTGGTTCCCTTTTGGATTCTGTCAACTTGGTCCAGAATCAGCCACTGGCTGCTGGAGATTCCGAAACCCCTAAGAGCTGTTAAAGCAAACCCTGCTCTGAGAATGCAGACTCTTGATGGATGAGGGCGGGGAGTGTCTCGCCGAGATCTGGGCATCTCTTGGCCTTTCGAGTGCCCTGCCCCCAAGTGGGATTCCTTTCCCTCTGTACCTTCTTTCCTCATTCCCTGGTGGGCCCTTCTTCCTTCCACAGGGCTGAGCCTAGGCTCCCTAGGTACTTCCCAGCATCAAGTGACACCTAGAGTTGATCACCTCAAAGTTGCAGGCAGCCTAGAGCATTTCTCGGTTCAGCCTGCCCCTGATGTTGTTTCTCCCTGTCTGCCCACCTGAGGCCAAGTGGAGTATATCCAAGTTCAAATTCTCACCTTGCCTTAGATTGTTTCTCCAGTTTCCCACCTCAGGGACGGCTCCCCGCTGTGCTGACTCCTCTCCCACCCTCCACATCCTGTCAGCTACCAACTACCCTAATTTCTGATTTCAGCCTGTCCATTCCGCACCTCTTCTGTTCCCCTGGTCGGTAGCCTTTCTCTGCCTGCAGCAGCCTTCTCTCTGGTGTCCCTGCCTCCTCCAGCTAGCCTTCCCTGAAGAGCTGCTCTCTAGACCCCAGTAGCCAAAGTCACAGGCTCTTCACTTCAGAGGCCAGCTCAGCCTCCCAGGAGCATTCGTGTTCCCAGTGTCGGCCCTGTGTATTCCCATGGCCTTGTCCCTGTGTCCCCAGGTCTAGACGGCCTCCCTCAATTCCCTCACCTAGCTGAAAGGGCTATTTCCCCCTCATTCTCTGTTCTCTGGTATGTTCTACAAGGCCATGAACTGTCTGTGACCTAGACTCTGACCTCCCTGCCCAGGTATCTGTTGGAACAGCGTGATGTAGAGGTGAATGTTCGGGATAAATGGGACAGCACGCCCTTGTGAGTGCCAGTGGTGGGGTGATTTGGTTGACTGGGTGTGGGGTGGTCAGGCTGGCCTGAGAGTATCCTTCAGAAGCTATAACTGAAGTAACTGCTTCCCTACCTCCTTTCTTTGTCTAGATACTATGCCTGCTTGTGTGGCCATGAGGAGCTGGTACTCTACCTTCTGGCCAATGGTGAGGAAGGGTCAAGGTCAATGTGTGTGTGTGTGTGTGTGTGTGTGTGTGTGTGTGTGTACATGAAACACATGCACGTGTGTTGGATATAGTGTCTATATTGTAGATGCCCAGAATCACCCATGATTCCTCTCACCTTCCGTCATCCGTTCAGGATGCTTTCTAGCTAGGTCTTCTGCTAACTCTACTTTGATAACCTCCCTTCTCATCTTTCCACTTCCCCCTCTTCTCCACTGCTGCCTCCTAGGCTGAGCCACCAAATTTGCCCACCTGGATATAATGCCATCTTCTCAGTTGGCGTCTGGCTTCCTCACTTTTACTCAACAAATCTGATCACTTTAAACATTCCCAGTGACTTCCATGTTAATATAGAAGAAAGCTTTCACCTCACTTCTGCTTTTGAAGTTGCCCATCTGCTGCTGGCTTCTTTGCTCTCGCCTCCTCCCGTGGTTATGCTGTTCACCCACATTGCCTTCACCTCTGCTTCTGCGTTGGCACTTGCCGTTCTTTCTACACTGGCTGCCTTTTCCCAGACCTTGGCCTGGCTTTCAAGGTTCTAGTCACTGTCACTGCTACAGAGTGACCTCTTGTGACCTCACTGTGCAGTCACTAACACCCAGCACTTCGGCATGTTGATATTTGTTGCAAGCTTATCATACTGCTTCCCCATTGGACTTGATGAGCTCCCATAAGTAGGGACCTCTTCTATCCTCAGAGCTTAGGATAGAGCCCATCACAGAACCTGCTCTGGGTTTCCCATGTTCTGTCAGTGAGCATGTGCACCTGTGAACAGACATGGATTTGTGTGCACTCCCATGTTGGGGGGATGCTGGGATCAGAATAGGTCCAGAGTGATTTGGGAAGAGGTCGCTAGGGCATACAGAGTTCTGAGGGCCCTGAGTAGTGGAGGTGAGGATAAGAGCCAGGGGTTTAGAATTTTCCCAGAGCCTCAGGGGCATAGCTCCAGCCTTGCCCCAAGCTCTTAAGCCACAGAATGCAGCCAATGTCCTGCTGACTAGGAACCCTGCTGCCCCCACGCCAGGAGCCCGCTGTGAGGCCAACACCTTTGATGGAGAGCGTTGCCTGTATGGGGCGCTGAGCGATGGCATCCGGAGGGCGCTTCGAGACTATAAGCAGGTCACTGCCTCCTGCAGGAGGCGGGATGACTATGACAACTTTCTACAGCGGTGAGACGGGAAGGGGGCACGGCAGCCAGTGTTCGGGACTGTGTTGGGGATTTGAGCTTGCTGCTTGTGGCCCCCCAGGATGGAGGCCTCTGTCTTGTTTGGGGGGGGGTAAATGAGGGAGGTCTGCTGGGCACTCACCCCCGTCTGTCCCCAGGCTTCTAGAGCTGGGTAGCCACAGTGACGTGGTGTTTGTTGTGCATGGAAAGCCCTTCAGAGCGCATCGCTGTGTCCTAGGTGCACGGAGCACCTACTTTGCCAATATGCTGGACACCAAGTGGAAGAACAAGAATGTCGTGGTCCTCAGGCACCCCTTGGTTTGTCCCTCAAGGGGCTGGTGTGGGGCTGGCTGCCTGGGGGTAAGCAGAGGGCTGGTGCTGACAGGCTGTCTCTGAGTCTCCACTGTGTCTCTACCCACAGATCAACCCCGTGGCTTTTGGGGCCCTGTTGCAGTACCTGTACACAGGTGACTCCTGGGCCCTAAGTGGGTGGGAGACAGGGAGCTGGCCTTCTGGCTGGCAGCAGACCCAGGGGTGGCCTTAGAAGGTGAAGAAGACTGAAACCTGGTATGATTTCGGCTGACATTCACCTCAGTGCATCATTCCCATGGTAGTGGGGTTCCAGCTGCCTCCTGGAGTGACTGTGAGATGGGGTGACATGTGTGACACACCATCAGCTCAGGAAGAGCCATACACACACACCCGGCACTCCCATTGGCCTGAAGCTGTTAGGATGCAGCTTTCCTATTATTCCCCACCCCTCAATTTTAGTTGTTTTTTTGAGATACCGACAACAGAGCACACACCAATTCACCGCTTTCTCCACATAGAGTTTAGTGACACTGATGACATTTCGTAACCCTTCTCCTTTTGCGGGTTGTTGAGCTACTTCTCATCCTCCTTTATCGTTCTTGTTCCTCTCTAATTAACATAAAACCACCTTTCCCCCCCCCCTTTTTTTTTAGTAAAAAAGGTGAACGTCATCTACCTTCTAGACTGAGGGTTTTTTTTCTTTTTGTTTCTACTTGATTTCGTGGCTCCAGGAATTTTGGGGTCCAGGAGAACTTGTGTGCATTTCCTCCGTTTTGATCAGGATTGCTCTTTGCAGTCCCTGATCATAACACTGGGTTTTGATAGGCTTCACGCAGTTCTGGTGTCAGGACAGAGGGGACAGGTTGATGTTCTTGGAGGCAGAGCGTGCCCATCCCGCTGCTTTCTCCTCTCCAGACTCCCTTTTTCCTTTGTGTGAGGTGGGTAGAGAACGGAAGCACTGAACATGTTAGTAGGCCAGTTAACTGGGATGGCCTGTGAAACCATGACTCTGACGGAGGAACCAAATTCCATAAGGTGTTGGGTTGTGCATAAGCAACCTCACCAATGACTCTTTTTTTTTTTTTTTAATTGTATCTATCACGTAACTTTTTTCTACCTGCTTCCCTGACAAGAGCAGAGCAGCTGGTACTCCTGGGAACTCTGTAGCCACCATACCCCTTCTGTGTAACTGAAGGCAGCCTGGAGTACAAGGACCCCAGGGGACTTGACCTCACCCCACTGGCCCCCCACCCCCAGGCCGCCTGGATGTCGGTGTGGAGCACGTGAGTGACTGTGAGCGCCTGGCCAAGCAGTGCCAACTCTGGGACCTGCTCAGCGACCTGGAGGCCAAGTGTGAGAAGGTGTTCGAGTTTGGTACGTCAGGGCCGGGGTCTGGGTGAGGCCTGGCTGAGCCACCCTAGCCCTAACGCCACCTGATCACCTCCGCAGTGGCCTCCAAGCCAGGCACGTGCGTGAAGGTCCTGACCATCGAGCCGCCGCCATCTGACTCCCGCCTGCAGGATGACTTGGCCACGCTGGCTGACTGTGCCCTACCCCCTGAGCTGCGTGTGAATACAGGCTGAGTGTGGGCCACAGGTGGTGGGGGTGGGCCTGCGGGATGATGGCGTGGGCTTCAGTTCCCTGTTGTTGTGACCTTGTGCCATTTGTGACACAGGTTGCTTACTTACAGGTTGTTTATGTACTTGGTTATTTAAACCTGAACTCCCCACCACCAGGATTGTGCTAAAACAAGGCTCGGGTCTGAGTTTTGGCATCTGTCACCACAGCCACCTCTGACTAGGATGCTCTCCTGTCTCCCCAGGGTGATCTCGGGGAGCTGCCCTTCCCCTGCCCTGACAGCTTCAATAGTTGCCCTGACGTCTGCTTCCGGGTGGCCAATTGCAGCTTCCTCTGCCACAAGGTGCCCACCCTGCCCCTGCTTCTTCCCTTTCCCTAAACCCTGGGCTGCTCCTTGGGGGACAGCTCCTCGGGGGATAGCTCCTTGGGGGACAGCTCCTCGGAGGACAGCTTCTCAGAGGACAGGCCCTGACCCCTCCTGAGCTGGGCCTTCCCCAGGCCTTCTTCTGCGGCCGCAGTGACTATTTCCGGGCTCTGCTGGATGACCACTTCCAAGAGCAGGAGGAGCCTGAGGCTTCGGGGGGCCTGCCGGCTATCACTCTGCACAACATCTCCCCCGATATCTTCACCCACGTGCTCTACTATATGTACAGCGACCACACTGAGGTGCGGGCCCGGGCAGGGCTGCATGTGAATGCAGGGGTGGGGGAAAGATGGGGTTTGTGGAAGCTCCTGGGTGCTTCTGTGGGTGAGGTTTTGATGAGGTTGGATGATGTTGTCAGGAGCCATCGAGTCGAGTATGACTCATAGCCACCCTGTGAACAACAGATCCAAGACCTGTCCTGTGCATCCTCGTCATCTTTAACACACTCAGGCCCAACAAAACAGATAGATCTTGGCCAGAGTGCAGCCAGAGTGCTCCTTAGAGGCAAAAATAACGAAGCTTCATCTCACATACTCTGAGCTTGTCGTTAAAAGGGGACATTACTTGGAAGTGAGCCTCATGCTTGGAAAAGTAGAGGGTTAGTGAAGGAGGCTGGATAGGGTTTGACTTCTTCTCTGAGGAAAGGGGAGCCTTGGCAGGTTCCAGGCCGAGAATGAGTGACAAGACTAAAGTCTGAGCACTCGCTGTGGAAGGACACCTCACACACACCTATGTCTGCCACCTGGAGCCTCTAAGTCCTCCGGCCAGAACATAAACCCTGACCTTTGATTGTAGCAAGCTCAAGGCCCATTCCACGGCCGCCAGCAGCTGTGGCCTGCTTGGGGCAGCAATGAAGCCCTGCAGTGGGTTTGTTTTCTCCTTTCACCTTTTATCTTTGTTCCCCCGCTTTCTCCAACTGTCTCAATGCATCTCACACGTAAAGCCTCTCAGGTAGCAGAGGTCTGCTCTGCCAGGATGCAGTGCATGTGTGCGAAGGAAGACTTGGTGCTGTCATAAAGAGACCCTAAGATACAGTGGCTTACAAAGGAGTTTACTTTTTCTTTTCTGGATGATTGCCACAGTAGAGCTGGCTTTCCGAGGACCGATGTCCTCCTGTGTCCTGCCCTGCCATGCCAAAGGGATGAGCCAGATGGCAAGGTCTTAGGCGACGGAGCCATATGGTCTCTGTCACCTACTCAGCTCAAAAGTGGCCAGAGGTTGTGCGGAAGTGAACTGGGGAGGGCGACTGTATTCCAGTGTGATCTTAAGTACAAAAGCAGGTGAAGGTGCTGCCTTGGGCATGCTCCCTCTCTCTATCTGGAGACCAGGCCGTGGGCAGAACACAGCCATGTGGCAAAGCACTCCACACATTCTGCTAGGGAGCCGTGGGCAGAACACAGCCATGGGGCAAAGCGCTCCACACATTCTGCTAGGGAGCATTTAGTTGGTGGCCACATTGTCAGCAAGGATGGAAGGTGTTTTCAGGGCAACCACCCTGGCTGCCCCTCTGTCACCAGAGGAAGGGACATCAGTTCCTAGGGGTCTATTTGTGCCTTCACTGGGCTCACTGGCCCCTGCTACCTGGGCTCTACCTTTGCCTAACTGAGCCCCTCCCAGAGGGGTCTTGCTGACCCCAGAGACATCTGGAGAGGCAGGGTAGTGTGGCTGGGAGCTCTGCTTCCTTATGAACTGTGTGGTTCTTAGAAGTCAGGTAACCATATATGTCTCAGCTTTCCCATCAGGAAAGGGGATAGTGATAGTACCAACCTGGCAGAGTCTTGTGTGTGTCAAATAGTCTTCAGGTGATTGCCTTGAACAGCGTAACATCGGCCTCGTCACCTCTACTTGTTCCTTGAGGCTGCTTCGACACTAGACTGAAGTGGGAAAGTTGGCCTTGCACAGGGTGGGCGCATCGGTAGCTGTGGCTGTAGCTGCATACAGTCTAGTGAAGGGCAGGATCGGGTAGTTCACGTCACCCAGGTTGGGAACGGCACCTGCCCTGCCGCAGGGCCCTGCCGTGGCTTTGACAGTTGCTTGTTTCATTTTCCCAATGGCCTTTCAGCCTGCATTTCACAGGTGGGGGAACAGATACACTGAGCCTGAGGTCTTGTCCAGGGTCACTCAGCTCAGAAGTGTCTAGGCTAGAACCTGGTCCTGGGTCTGTGTCGTTTCAGGCTCGGCCCTTTTTGCCCGTCCCCCCCCCCCCCCCCCCCACACACACACACTGCAGGCACCCCAGGTGGCCTTTGAGCTGCTGCTTGGGAGTCTCCCGCTCCATCCTCTCTGCCCCTGGGCAGTGGGTGCCGTGGGGCTGTGGAGGGCAGGCCCTGGAGCATCCAGAGGCCCTGGTAACTGGGTGCACCTTCACTCCTCTCCCCTGCAGCTGCCCCCCGAGGTGGCTTACGATGTGCTCTGTGTGGCTGACATGTACCTGCTGCCGGGCCTGAAGCGGCTGTGTGGCCGCAGCCTGGCTCAGCTGCTGGACGAGGACAGCGTGATGGGGGTGTGGCGCGTGGCCAAGCTGTTCCACCTGGCCCGCCTGGAGGATCAGTGTACCGAGTACATGGCCAAGGTCATCGAGAAGGTGGGTTAGCTGTACAGGGAGACAGTGACAGTGCAGTAGAGGGGCTGGCATGCCCTGACCTCACCTGTCCCGCAGCTGGTGGAGCGAGAGGACTTCGCGCAGGCGGTGAAGGAGGAGGCCGCAGCCGTGGCCGCGCGGCAGGAGATGGACTCTATCCCCCTGGTGGATGACATCCGCTTCCACGTGGCCAGCACGGTGCAGACCTACAGCGCCATCGAGGAGGCACAACAGCGGCTGCAAGCCCTGGAGGACCTGCTCGTGGCCCTGGGCCTGGACTGCTGAGGCGGCCTGGGTGGGCCTGGCTCGGGGTGGGCCTGGCTGTGTGCTCAGCAGCTCTCCAGTCCCTGCTTATTTCTAGGGGCCCTTCTTCTGCAGGCTGCCCCCTTCCTGCCTGGCTGTAAATCCTGGGGAAGCCACTTCCCCCAGCGCAAAAGCCGGCCTCCAAGCCGGGGGCTGGACACTACTCAGGGAAAGCTGGGGTGCGGGTGCGTGGGCTGTGGCGTCCAGTGCTGCCCTTCCTCAGCAGCCCTCAGGCTTGGTGGGGCCAGTCTTTCTTCTCTGCTGGGCCTGAGCCTGCAGCTGCCTCTCTGACCTGAGTCCCCACCTTCATGGAGTGGCTGAGAGGGTGAAGGACGGGGGCTGTGTGTGGTGTGTGCGTGTGTTTGTGTATGTGTGGCAATAAAGCTTGAGTTCAACTAGGGGAGCCTAAGCCTTTGTTGGGGCTGCACTACTCTAGGGAGGGTGGGCACTGGTGGTGGGGGACAGAGCTGTTCTCACTGGATACCTGCTGAACTCCCTGGTGTGTGGCCTTCTGGCAGGGGAGGGGCTGTGTGAGCAGCACTTCCTCTGTGAGGTCCTGAACCCTCTCTGCTGCATCAGCCAGCTCACCTCAGACACAGCTGCCCCCAGGCTCTTCTAGTCAGAAGGACCCTCTCCACCCCAGTGACCATGAGGCCCCTGGGTGACTTAGGGAGGGGCTGGCCGAGTGGCCACAGCCTTGAGGTCAGAAACCAGTGGCTTTTGCTCTTTGTTATTCTCCAGGGCTCTTACCCAAAAGCACCTGCTGTATGCCACCCACTCATGCCATGAAAATTGATTTCTAGTTGTTGTTGTGAGTTGCCTGTGACTCAGTGACCCTGTGTACAACAGCTCTAAACCGTGATCTGTCCTGAGCCAACTTTCCTGTCTCTGACACACCTACCCCCATTACTCCAGTCACTGCATCAATCCGTCTCATCAAGGGTCTTCCTCTCTTGCATTGTCCCTCCACCCTCCCAAGCATGATGTCCCTCTCCAAGGACTGGTTCTTCCGTGCAATATGGCCAGAGTGTGTCAGACAAAGCTTCAGAATCCTTGTCTCCAAGGAGCAGCCTGATTTTACCCTCTCCATGACAAACTTGTTTGTTCTCCTAGCAGTCCACGTATATTAAATCCTCCTCCTAACATCCCTAGTCATTGTCCAGCTTTCTGATGCAAAGCAAGTAATTGCAAAGACTATGGCCCAGATCAGATGCACCTTTGTCTCCAGACTGAAATCGTTGCCCTTCAGTACTCTGGAGAGGTCCCTGACCGCAGACTTTCCTAATGCAATTCATTTCTCAATTTCCTGGCTGCTGGTTCTTAGTATCTACATTTTATAGATGCAGGGACGGAAGCTTCATCCCTGCACAAAGCTGGGAAGCAGGTGACAGAAGAGAATGCCTCCCATTACCCCCAAATCCCACATATAGCACTTGTGTTCTCCTGCCCCAGGGGTTATGACATGAGGGAGAGAAGACTTCCTCCATTATACCCCACTTACTGGCCTTTGCAGCCACACCCTAAAATCCCCTCTGGGCACCAGTATTCCTCCAACCTCATGGTAACATATGTAGCCCACAGGTGCTAGGGTAGAAACGGCAGATCCTCTAGATACTGGTCTCTGCACTTCTCCAGAGTTGCACTGCTCACCCAAAGGCCATGCTCCCCTGGTGGTTTGAATCCACCAGCAGCTCCTTAGAAGAAAGGCAGTCTCCTGATTAGTCTCAAGCCCAGAGGAGGGTCAGCTGGTGTCAGTTCTGATTCTGCGGCAAGGAGAGAGGTCTTTCTCCAGATTGATTCCTCACCCGCGATGCACTTCTACTCATTTGCTCTCAACAGTTCTTCCAGAGAGAAGCACTGAGCTACTGGCTGGAGCCAGCAGTTGAGGGGAACCAACATGTTAGAGAGATTGGAGGAGGGCTTCTGAGGAGGGCCCTGAAGCAGGTCTCAAGGGAAGGCTGGGGGAGAGTCTGTCGGGTAGAAGGCTCAATTTTTTAAGACCTGGCAGCCTAATATAGAAAGGAAAGTCTGAAGATCAGCACATCTACTCCAAGCAGAGGCCAGAGCTCCCACCTTGACTTGCCTTTACTTGGTTAGTGCTCAGTTTGCTTATCTGTAAAATGGGGGCAATAATAATAGACCTCTTTCCTAGTCTGTTAGGCATAACAGGTAAGCTGATATTTGTGAAGAGCTTATCACCATTTCTGGGGGCACAGTTAATTACATATGAGGGCAATGACCCAGACTGGATTTGACAGGCAGTGATAGAAGTGGACTTAATATTTTGGAAGTCCAGTCTGGCTGTCGTGGGCAGACTGGGAGGGCAGGGTGAGGTGAGTGACCTGAAAGTGGCAAGTCCTGCCCAGCCTGCACACCGACCCTAGGTGTGTTGGGTGTTGGAGATGTAAATGTGAAGAAAAAGAAGTTACTACGAAGAGAGCTCTGGTGGCTTAGTGTTAAAGAATTGTGCTGCCAGTGCAAAGGTAGCTGGTTTGAATCCACCAGCTGCTCCAGAAGAGAAAGGTGGGCAGTCTTCTGTGTGAATCAATGTCTTTGAGAACCCACGGGAGGGTCAGCTGTGAGTTGCATCTGACTCTGGTAGTAGGGAACAATGACATGCATTTAACAAGAAAAAAATGAACTTGTATCAGTATACATGGTAAAGAGATTGAGATAGTTAATAGTTTTATTAGTTTCCTTTGTCCACAGTCAACACTCTTGGTAACAGCAGCCAGGAAATCAAGAGACGAATTGCATTGGGAAAATCAGCTATCCACCACAACAAGGTAAAGGTAAACAATCCAATTGAAAAATGCGCACAGGATATGAACAGACACTTCACCAAAGAAGACATTCAGATGAATGTTCAAAATCCCTAGCTCTAAGAGAGATGCAAATCAAAACAACTTTGAGATATCATCTCACCTGAGTAAGAATAGCAGAACTGAACAGAACAGCAAGCAACGAATGCTGGTGAGGTTGTGGAGAAACTGGAACCCTTATTCACTGTTGGTGGAAGTGTAAAATGGTGCAACCACTGTGGAAGGCAGTGTGGCACTTTCTCAAAAAGTTGCAAATAGAAATACAGTTTAACCCAGCAATTCCACTACTGAGAATATACCCCAAAGAGACCGTAACTGCCACCCAAGCAGATATATGCACACCCATGTTGATCATGTCTTTGTTCACAATAGCAAGGAGTTGGAAACAACCTAAGTGCGCATCAACAAAACGAATGGATAGAGAAGCTGTGGTATATTCACACAATGGAATACTACACTGCATTGAAAAACAGGACTTATGCAATATTATTGAAAACGGGTGAGCCTGGAGGACATTATGCTGAGTGAAATGTCTCAGTCACAAAAGGACAAATACTGCATAGTGCCACTGTTGTAAAATGGGATTGACATCGGGGTTGAGGGGAGACTGAGAAAGATGGGTTAAATAATGTATACTGCATTGAAACAGATGGAGAAAACCATTTAAAATGGATATGTGATTAGGTATCATTGTCATGACAGGAGTTCAGAACAAAGGTTGCATAGTGGAGTGGACCTGGGGGGAGGGATTGTAAAACAATGAAAGAATTTTACTCTTCAAAGAGAAGAGTGTACTAGGGGGGAGGGATGGGCAGGGAGAAAAGTGCAACAATGAATGAATGGAAATCCAGTCTAAATTTTCATTAAAATTAATTAAAAAATGATTTAAAAAAGTCAGTTGTTAGGGACCTCTCAAGAGTACTGAAGAGCAAGGATATCAGGCTGGAAACTAAGGTGCGCCTGATCCCAGGCTATAGTCTTTGCAATTACGTGCTATGCATTGGAGAGTCGGACAGTAACTAGGGGTGACAGAAAGAGAATTGATGCCATTGAGCTGTGGTGCAGGAGAAGAGTGTTGAATATACCATGGACTGCTAGGAGAACAAACAGGTTTGTCCTGGGGAAGGTGAAGCTGGAATGCTGCTTGGAGTCAAGGATTCTGAAGCTTCGTCTGACATACTTTGGGCATGTTGCAAGGAGCGACTAGTCCTTGGAGAGGGATATCATGTTTGGGAGAGTGGAGGGACGGTGCAGGAGAGGAAGACCCTCGATGAGATGGATCGATTCTGTGAATGGAGTGGTGGGAATGAGTGTGTCAGAGACAGTGAGGCTGGCACAGAATAGAGCAGCATTTAGGGCTAAGAGTCTCAAGTGACTGGGCACATAACAACAATAACAACATATCAAACCTTGCTTTTAAGAAGACATTTCTTGCATTTGTTGTTTGGAAGGGTATCTATGCTACTTGAAGTCACCTAAGCAGCCTCTTTCTTGAGAATTGCTGTTTTGGTGAATCACGGATACAGCAGAAATGGTGACTTGCTCCATGTCTGTGCTAGGAGTATGTAGCCCACAAATTGTCTCCTGGGGCGTGCCCTGGGTGTGCGCGCGTGGCTGCATGTCATCATCCCACCACAAAGTTTCTCATTTTCACCATGACTTTGAAGTAGGAGGCAGGGAAGCCAGAATGAGCGTGCACTTTATGCAGGAGGGTGTTTGGTGCGGTGCTCCATGTAGACAGGAAGCTCCTACCCCTCTGTGAGCAGAGGACTGGGAAGACACTGCAGCTGAGAGTTGTGGAGGGCGGCTTCCTGCCCCATCAAGGGGTCAATGAGGCTTTTGTGGCCACAGGGAGATGCAGAAGCCAGGGCAGCTTTGGGAGGTGCATCCCAAGACGTGCTTCAGACAGGATTGTGTACTCCCAGCAATCGGTGGGAGAGGGGCTGGGGGCTGGAGGGTTTCATCTGATTTTGGCTGAGTCTCTGCACAGTGGTAGTTCCATTACCATTACTGGGTACTGTTGAATCAGAACTGAAACAGCTGACCATCCAGCAGATTTTCAGAAGAGGAAAATGGCACAGGAGGACAGAGCTCATCTTTCTCCTGCAGAGCAACTGGTGGGTTCAAACCTTGTGCCTTAAGGTTGGCAGGTCTGCTCCTTACCTCTAGGCCACAA